GACCACGCAGATCAACAGAGCCCCAGATTATTACAGAGTTTGAGCCGGTCGACCGCCACGGTCAACCGAAATCAATTCCATAGAGTAAATCGATTATAGGGTAGCCACGGTCGATCGTCGCAGTCGACCGTATCAGTTCCAGAATGCACCCTAAACCTGTGCATGTTTCCTGTCGACCGCAGCTGACTCGCGGGCGACGCCGTTTCTACAAATCTCCACATCGGTGAAGTTTCTCCCAAAACTGAGCTGACACCAAAACATCCAAATATCCCACTTGTTACGTCCAGTACGAAGTAGAATAAATCCACGACAACGGACTCAATCCATAACAAGTTGGAAACCCAAACGAAAGCTTAAACAATCTCCTCCATTGAAATCAATAAATCCAACCGGCTGTATCGAAAAGACTATCTACGTATCCTCTTGTACAGGGAATCAAGCCAAACGTAGTTCACCTAAATGGCCTCCAAATGCCCTCAACATTGAAGAATATTCAATAGCTTCAAACAATGACCAAATTTCACACCTGAAACAACTTTGGTCAACATATCCATAGGGTTTATACTCGTACGTTTACTGGAGTCTACACAGTTTATACTCTTAAGGTATTGGAGCATGGCGATCCTAAATGTTAGGGCTACAGGACCAACTATTAAAACTAATTCATCTGCATGTATGAATCTTATCTTGAAGTTGTCGGATCCTCAAGTCACGAGACTAACTAATGGAGCTGGTGTGTCAATGACTCTCATATTTATAGGATTTTTGATAAATTCTCAACCATCAACGGGTTTGATGAGTCTTTACCGATTGCCATTTGAATCGGGCTAGCATGCGGATTGTTTTAAGTCTGTTTCGCATATAACATTATGCTAAGAGAGTTAACTCTCTTAGTGTTATGATATTGAATATGTAGACTTCGTCTTTCTTACGAGAATAGACTATTCGGTAACGCGTGTTAGGCGCTGACTTATGTCTTTTTAGGATTCGGGATAAAAGTCCCGAGACTTGGATTCTGATGTCTTTTTTACTCGGCGAAAAACTAAACCGACAACGCGTATTAGGCGCTGACTTATCCCTACTTAGACTTCAGGATAAAATTTTCTAGACTTAGATTCTGGTGTTTTTTTACTCAGCGAAAGACTAAACCGGCAACGCGTGTTAGACGCTAACTTATCCCTACTTAGGCTTCGGGATAAAATTCTTCGTGCGTGTAAGGTATGGATTATGGTGTTAAAAAGTAGTGTCTTCACTTGGGGCAAAGACTAACATGATACTGAAGAGGAAGAATTTTATATTCTACCTTCAATTACAAAGGAAACTCAAAGTGGGATCTCCATTTCGAGAATCCGGACAGGTAAAACTAAGAGTGGGATCTCCACTCCGGGAATCGGGAAGATTTGGATAACTTTAATTGTCGGAATGTTTGATTACCAAACTAAGGGTTAGTTTCTTGTTTATCGAGAGTAAATTGCGGGTTTGACCCTAACTGTAGGAAAGTTTGACTTAATGGAAGAAATCGAGAGGAGATTTTGGTTGTGGTCCTAACTGTAGGAAGGTTTGACCAAGGTGGAGGATTTGAGATGACCCTAACTGTTTAAAGGTTTGATCGTTTAATTTATGGACCTCTCGTTCATGGAAGGAATCGAAATGAGATTTTGGTTATGGTCCTAACTATTTAAAGGTTTGACTAAGATGGAGAATTTAAGACGACCCTAACTGTTTAAAGATTTGATCATTTAATTTATGGACCTTTCGTTCATGGAAGGAATCGAGAGAAAATTTTGGTTGTGGTCCTAAGTGTTTAAATGTTTGACCAAGTGGGAGTGAGAGTACAAATCACAGTGGGAGTGTTGACTTATACAAATCACTCGGTGGGGGTTTTCAGTGTCAAGTAATCAGCACTTAACACGAAAAGAGTTTGAAAATTGTCAAGCATCAGCAGATTAAAATTCCAAGTACTATGTCCGAACTCTAACAAATGGAAATGTTGAATGCACAGCCACAACGGGAGTTTGAATGGATTAAACCAGAAAAAATTTTAGTGGACCCACTATCAATTAATTTGATCAGTGAGGGATTTTATGGTGAAAGATTATGAATCGTCAAACACTAGTGGGGGGTTTTTGTGAGGGAAGATTGATCCAATGAAGTGATCAAATCTCGTCTCAGCAAAAGAGTGCTTGGAAGTTGGTGAAATTGATCCCGGCAATTAGATGTGTTTCACTCTTGGAAGCATTCAGAATCCAAATGGGAGTTTCTTATTCATCACTTTTTTGTAGTGACTGGGTTATTCTTAAGAACACACCATATAGCATTCTTCCGGGAACTTCCCTTTACATGAATTATCAACCCCTAGCTTTCTTTGCGAAACTGGGTCTAATATTGTACTCAGTTGTATGATCAGGTTATCCTTAAGAATATTATGTATAAAATTCTCCAGAAACTTCCCGTTAAAGTTAGGAAACAGTTTAGACTAGTTTACTTATTGGAGTATGCAGGGAGCAGTTTAACCTCATACACTTGTTGGAGGATCACGGAGAAGCAGTTTAACCTCTTATACTCATTGAATGATTGAGAAGCAGTTTATACTCGTATACTCTTCGGAGTCTTTATTCAGATTATTTTAGCGTTAGGGCGTCAGCTTCAACCAAGGCTTGGATGCTATTTTTGAGAGTGAAACAAGTCTTGGTGGGATAAAGGATCCTCCTGTGGTACGCACAGTACTTTGGATCCGAAGTATTATCAGTTTCCTCCTGATTTGTGATAGGTGACAGCTTGATCTTGTTGTTTTCAAGGAGGGATTCAAAAATGACCGGAACGTCTTCGTCCCTAAAGGAGTACTCTTTTTGAAAGTAGCTTAGCGTGGGGTTTTTTAATTGAATTTTCCAAGTTTGCCCCTCACATGAGTTTTAAAGTATCATGAGTTATGAGGACATTACTTGGGTTTGTTAAAAATTACCCTCATGACTAGACAAGATGATCTCACATTTTACATTGGGTGGCACTAGGGACACACCACCAACCACATTCCAAACCACACCCCCTCTCTCATATGTTACAGTACACCGGGCTCCACATGAGATTTTAAAATTTTAAAATCTCATGTGGGGCCCGGTGTACTGTAACATATGAGATAGGGGGTATGGTTTGAAATGTGGTTGGGGTGTGCTCCTATCATTTTCCTTTTACATTTGCTCCAACGATGTGCTTTAGTCTCCAAAGTTGTTCAGCCTATCGTCAGAGCACACACATGACACATGGTCTTCTATGTTGTTCTATGGGCCTACTATCATGGTGGAGCATTCATAATTGAAGGAGATAATTTAAAAAACAAAAACAAAAAATGGCCCCCACCACAAAGTTGAAAGGATCTACAAAGTTCTGATTTTCTCTATCCTCTAGTATCTTAGTCCCTCATCAGAGCACATACATAGTCTTTTATCATTTTCCCCCCCTGTTAATTGAGATATTCATGTAGGCTCGCATTTGCATCAGACACTATTGCTCGTCTTTCGTGGCTTCAATGCTGGTATTGGAGCGCTTATTTGTCAGTACATACATTTTTCCTGTCGGTTTTCATTTTCTCTAGATGCAAGGCCAACTTAGGCCTTGATTTATTAGCGGAAAATAATAATTTAGAAGTGAGCGTATGGGAGTGCAATGAAACCGAAAAGGGGAAAACGGCGTTTAATTGGAGTTAAATTTTTTGATTATGTGCCGTTCTGCAGAAATATCTGCAACTTCTAGTTGCAGCGTAAGGACACGTGAGATAGCTGGGCATGCTTGCTAGTCAACAGCAATACTGTGCTTTGGATTTTCTCACGGGAAATAAAATATTGTACCCACACTTGGAATGCAATTAATTTTTTTCATCCCAGAACATCCTCAGACTTGCAAGCAACTTTGCTCCTTGTTGCTTGCTATCAAAACCGAACCGAACCATTACAAATCGGTTCGGTGCGGTTCGGTTCGGTTTATTCGGTTCTAACTTTATCAAGTATAACTTCACTTCAATTTATCTTTTATATATTATTATTACCCTATGCCAGCATGTATTTGTTTTTTAACTTCACTTCAATTTATTATTCTTGCTCATGTATGTATACTGTTTTTAAGTGAAGTAACTTATCCTTTTGGATTAAATACTAGACTCTGACGTTGTAATTTTTTAGTAACGGACTTGCTTTGTCTTTGTGTAGCAAGCTTTGACTTTGGTCTTTGTGGAGACAAAAAAAGGAGTTGACTCATTAGAACATTGGTTATGTATGAATCAATTCCCTGCAACTGCTATTCATGGTGATCGAACACAGCAATAAACCCACAAATCAAAGACACAAATATATTCGGTTGGTTCGGTTCGGGTCGGTTTGAAAAATTATCAACCCGACCCGAACCGCCTTACTCATAAAACCGCTTTTTTCGGGTCGGTTCGGGTCGGTTCGGTCGGTTTTTTTGGTTTGAACCGAACCGTGCTCACCCCTAGGGTTAACCGCAATTTTCACTGGCAAAAACACCCCCCTTACTTACCCATGCGAAGTTTTCTAATATTTAGACTATTAGGGGGGGCTCTCTGATAAAATTCTAAACTCTAAGGGGGATTTTCTGCTATTTTGAAAGTCACGGGAGATTGCTCTACAAGTCCAAAAGCTTGAGTAAAAGAGATTCCAATCCTTGTTTACCTTCTCCCCTATTTTTCCAATTGCAGTTCACACTTGACAAAAGAATTGGATAAGACAACCAAAAGAAATTTGAGATAAGCCCCGTTTTATCATTCCAAAAATAATTTCCTGTCTTAGTGGTAAAAGGATTATTGAATATTGAAATGATGAACGCAGATATTTTCATATGTTGTTTTGTGTTCTGTTGGCTGGGGCTTAGTTTATTCTTAGAAACTGTTTGTTAGGCTCTTGGGCTGGGGTCCCAATCCATTATCGTCCTTGAAATTGGAAGGCTAAATAATATTTGAGCAACAATAATATCCAACCATTATTAACCAAGAGCTTCCAAAAAGGAAAGGACACAACTGTAATTTGTTTAGTTTCTGCTCCTTTACGAACATCATTCTCAACATCCACATCCACAATTTGGAGCAATTAATAACAATTTTGCCTGCAACCCCCTCCAAATTCCTAATCTTTTTTCTTTCTTCTCCTCTGATTAGGAATTTGGAGGCGTGATCATATAAAATCAAACAATCAATATCTAATATTTTGCTTTATTTTCCCATTAATTTTTGTTAGAACCTTTTGGGGGGGTGTTGAGAGAAATTGAAGGTGAAATAATGGAGGACGACAAAGTGGCAATTGAACAACTCCCCTATGATCAACCTGACAATTCTAAAGCTATCATCATTGTCGAGAGTAAGAATTCGAGATTTCTTTTCTTTTCTTTTAAATGCTTTTTTGCTTATTTGTTCGTATCAGAGGAACACAAGAGCATGATTTTTTTTTAATTATTATTTGACCATATGTTTGTTTAATCAGGGATTTTTTTGGGATTTTTTTTTTTTAACCAACCTAGCTGTTCTTATGATTTTTTAGTAAATTTATATGTAATACTCTATTTAAATTCTTGTATGTCTTCTAGTATTTCATTTTCGCAACAAATATTTTGCTCGATTAGGTTTCGAATTGAAGGAGATAGCATTGGTTATCGTTTTTTTATCTGATCAATGTTTTTTAGTACTCTTTTAATATTTTCTCATAGAAAGAGTCCCTAAAAATATAATTTCATTTACTTTCATTTTTTTAAAAAAAATCCTATTTCTGATACATATTATTGTGAATGGGATGGCCCTGGCCTATGACTAATTAGCTGAGAGTGAGATGGGCTAGTTTCTAGTGAGCAAAAATGAGAGAGAATCTTGATTGAGATGATTTGTGATGTATAATGGAGACTACTAAATACACCCGTTAAGAAAAATGATTAGATTACGATTAATGATGTAAAGATAACTAGAGATTAGGCCTCAGCAAATTTGGTTGGAAGAAATTAAGAAAGATGTGTTAATAGTGAAATTTAAAAAAAAAATATCCTTCTTTGAGGTTTATCAACTTTGATTTGTGCAAGTATCTGGTTCTCTATCAACCGAAAAAAATAGTTGCAAGAAATATTTTTAGCTTTTTCTCAAATGCTTCTCTGATCAGTTTATGTTCATCTTCCAATTTTTATACACACACATCTGACTTGTTTACAGTAGTTACCAGTTACCAGCGTGTGAGGATTAACCACCCTCATTTTGCTAAATCTAGAAGTTGAATACGTTTGTTTATGCAATTACTACATGTAATTAATTATTGGTTAAAACTTTGATTTTCTTTTCCTAACAGAGGTCACACCAAACGCCTCGCCAAAGAGGGGGTCAACCAACAGAGGTGAGTTCTTAGGATAAAAAATTATCACGTTTAATGTGAAAGTGTGGCCCTAAAGAAACCTCTGTGGTGTTCAACTTGCAGATACTGCTCTTGCTCAGGTCCATAATGATAAGAAAAACTCTTTAATCAAGGCATGGGAAGAGAGTGAGAAGTCCAAAGCTGAACATAAGTAAGATCTGGGGTTTCCTTGTTAAAACATTACTGTTTCCATAATGTATAAGCATGATAAGAAAAATTCCAACAATTAAATGTCGGACAAATTTTCAAAACCAACCCCTTTCACTATTTATTTTTAAAAAACGACCGCTTTTGCAAAAATTTTCAAAAACCGACCTGGTTTCAGCCCTGGAGCTGAAACCAGATCGGTTTTTGAAAATTTTTATCCGAAACTTCACTGGAGTTGAACTCCCGTGAAGTTTCCGAAGTTTTTTCACAAAAAACCGACCTGGTTTCAGCGCCAAGGCTGAAACCAGATCGGTTTTTGCAATTAAGTTTGAAAGGGGTTGTTTTCTGGGATTAAATTTCCAAATATGTTGGTTTTGAAATTTTGTCCATTAAATGTCATATACTTTTTAGAACTCATGTCCTGGGTGGTACCACCTTTTAGAACTCTTACCTGTTTTGCATACTGAGCATCTCTAAGTTTGTTTGTCGTTCTTCGAGATGAAGGGCAATCCATGCAAGCAATTGCTAGGAAAGACAAGTTAACAAGTTACTCATTTACCTGAAAGAAAGAATCCAATCTGAGGGTTCCCTTGATTTCTTTTATTGCAATCTGTAACAGGGCTCAGAAAAAAATGGCATCTATCAGCTCATGGGAGAATTCGAAACAGGCGTCTATAGAGGCTGAGATGAAGAAGATGGAGGTGAGCAATCTCTTCAAACTCATGATGAAGCATCGTTTCGGTAGTTCATACTTTGCGTACGCAGTCTGTACTCTTCCCAGGAGCAGATGAGTATTAGATTAAAATCATACAGGGAGCTTATTATCAATTTTTAAGCCAGTATAATCAGAATAATGTAAAAGCGCAACCCCGAGTTCTTTTGTCCTGTGGATATCTTGATATCAGGGACTCTTGACTAGAACTGCAAGGTATTTTTACCCACCTTAGCGATAAGTGACGTATACAAAAACATAAAGCCTGTCATTATGCTTGACAAATGAACGGATATGAAAGTGTCTATTAACTAACTGGTTTTAAACAGGAAGCTCTAGAAAAGAAAAAGGCTCAGTATGCAGAAAAGATAAAGAACAAAGTCGCGATAATTCACAAAGCAGCAGAAGAGAGAAGGGCCCTGGTCGAGGCTAAGCGCGGCCAACAGCTACTCAAGGTGGAGGAAGAGGCTGCGAGATATCGAGCGACTGGGGACCTGCCGAAGAAGGGAACTGGTTGGTTCCAGATCTAATGCTATTAATTAATACTACTGCGGGGATGAATTGTGATTAAAATTTGCGGTTTGTTTATGCGTCGCAATGTTTTTTTTTTTTTTTTTTTTTTACCAATGTTTTTTTTTTTTTTTTTTGAAGCGAATGTGTTATGCGTCACAATGTTTGTTTATGCGTCGCAATGTTCTTGTGTATAAAGCTTTAACCGGGTAGTCCTAATTTGTAAGATGCAACACCCTTGCAGTATTACGACCATCATCCGACCTTTCATGAACCATTGTCAGCAAAAAAAATTATATATTAGCGCTCAAAATCCTCCTTTTGAATTTGAAATGGAGTTATTATGGATTTCGGGGTGCAATTTACAAATATGAGAATGATATTTAGAACAATTTGAATGAAGGTGTAGCTTACAAATATAAGATTTGAGGGCCTAACCATAGAATTTACAGTCTGGTATGAGAACAAACTCCACAAAGACTCGCCATAGGAATATTTAATTATAAGAATGTACTACTTCTAACTTAAAAAGCAAAACATCAAAATCACCATTTCATCTACAGCACTATTCATGCTACAGTATGCTACATAATATTAAATATACTGTTTTATGCCATGGTGGGCTGCTTTTTCCCATAAACACTGTTCACACTACAGTGTGCTTTTTGGCATCTTGCACATAATGTATATGCTAAGGTAAAAATTTTGTCATCCGCTCTACAAGATGAATACATTTTTTTGTTAACCATGAAAATACTGTTCATAATGTATATGCAGATAATGATGTTTAACCTTTATCTGAGATTTCATGAATATAAATTTTTTTTGATTCTATTATAGAAAATTGATGAAAATTAATAATCCATATATAATTTCATTAACTGGTTACGAAATTCACTTTGTAAATATTATAAAAAAAATTGTCACTGAATTTTTATAAATAATTATATATAAAAATCATATTATCAATTCGGTGACGGATACACTAGTTGGTATAATGTCGAAACCTTAAATGGCAGCAAGTTTTGTATATCAATTATACGTTGTCACATATGTACATCTACAACAGCAAGCACAATTCAGAAAATTACGAAAGGAAAAGAGACGGACACCAGTATCAAACACGAAGAAAACCATAGTAGTCTTAAAATGTCAGGAATTAAAAAAAAATTCTACAAACTCAAACCAAGTAGATTCGATACAGCTAATCCTTAAACATCTCTTCTTGATCTTTGCTTTCTAGCAAACATAGAGGGTAAAATCTAGTAAAAAGATACTTCAATACTGAACATAACTGACTATAACAACCAACAGTGAGAGGTTGCAAAGCCACGTTGGTGACGAGAAATTAACTATGACAATTCGATATGCCTACCACTTCATTCAACACAAGTGAATCTAAAAGGCACACTCAGCCAACAACTTCGTCAGCAATCAGCCTTCATCTACCAATACAAAAAACTATTGCCAAAGAATCTAAAGCGACTTCAGTTTCCCAAGAAGAGCGGGACACATATTCTGCGTTTCACTATTTGCCGCATCATCCATAAACAGAGAGAACTTGGAAAGGCAATAAATTAGCCCTGCGAACAAAACAAATTAGCATTAAAAACACCACGTGCGACAAACTTCCGACACAATATATGATCAAAATATGACATTTATTTGAATGACTTGAATAAGTAAATCAGAGAAACGAAGAGAAACAAATGAGGATGGTGCAATGGCTAATTGCACATACACTTCCACTAATACTGTGGCATAATCACTTATACCCCCATAAACAATTTTACTAGCAGTACACGCCCTGAACCGCGGACGAGACTATATTTTTTGCCCTCAATTTAGAGGGCAAGTTAGTATTTTATTTAGTTACTAAGGCCCAAAGAAACATTGGCGTCTGGAGTTCAACAGTGATAGAAGTGGCTATAATCTCATACTACAGTAGGTGTATCTGCAATCGACTAGCGTATAATAACTCGCACCCAAAAAACAAGCAATCTTTTCAGACACCACTCCCATGTTGACCATAGGCTCATACAATCCTAGTAAAAGTTCTTATGCATGTCAGTTGTAGACTTTGCAGGAATACTTACTTCAAGTTCATATATACAAAGTCGAGGAAGTCGCACAATTTATTGATCAAAACAACAGACCCACATTGCAGACACAGATCATCTGCAGTAAATGGCCTGGTCTATCTGCGGAGGAATCTGCTTTATCTCGGTTCCTAATTCTTGCTCAATCCTGTACCTGTTGACAAAACACATGCTCCAGATATCAGCAGTGGGAGAATAGAAATACTAGCTTGCATATAATGAGGCAAGTGAACATACAGATTGAATCGATCCTCATAGGTTATCAAATTCACCGCCAAACCAAGGTGACCATACCTTCCTGAACGACCAACCTAATAAAGAAGGAAAAATAAATTAAAAGAGAAACAGTTGAAGATACAAGAAATTGAACTTAAGTGAAGAAAATATGATACTACAGAATTCTAGTTTTTATTGCATCATCATGTAAATCATTGGACAATGATCGGATCAGATCAATAGGTCCATATTGCCTAAACCGTCTAGCATTATTTTGAAAAGTCCATGTTATCATCACATAAAGTTCCATCACTTGCACAAACTTGGCAATCATATGCGATAACATCATACCCTGTGTAAGTAAGTTTCTGAATTCTTAGGAAAATCAAAGTTGATGACGACATTTACAGCTTGGATGTCGATACCCCTCGTGAACAGATCTGAAAAGAACAATAACCTCAAGCATGTTATCACCTTAAATCAAGTCAAAATTAAATATGATAGGAAGAAACAGTGATATGTGCCTAGTAAAGAAAAATATCTACTCGAAAATGCAAATCTTACGAAAATGATGCATTAATTTACCTTATCCTTCAGTTTACATTATTAATAGTTTGAAACCTTATGGAAACAACTCAAACAAGAAATACTGATGAGAATTAATAAATATTCACAAATCTCTAATGCTTATCACTATCCTGAAACGTCAATATCAAAGCAGCACGATCCCCTCAACTGCATTAAAGTACACTAGCACAGGTGTGAGTAAGGATGATGATACAGTCAAGTGCATGAAAGAAATGAAACCTTTAGGTATGTTAAAATGCTGCAAAAAACAATAGGCAACAATTTATCAACTAATTTGATACCAACACAGCAATAAGATGCAAGGAAATCTCTTCAGTAGTGAAGCAAAGCTACAGAAGATTGCTTCATAGCAAAAGCATTACTTGTGTTTATTAAAATACTTCATCCACAGACAATCAACAAACAATCTATACCTGTGCAAACAAGGTTCCTACATGCACCATTTCGAAAATCATGGAAGACTCGATTACGGTGATCTTGCAACATCTTCGCATGAATATAGAAGCAGGAGTATCCAAGCTCAGTGATTTTCTTCGCCAATAGTTCTACTCGGTTAACTGAGTTGCAAAAGATGATTGAATGAT